GGGGGGGGACAGTGAGGGGCCGGGGCTGATAAATTCGTAACGAAAAAAACAAATTTAGCAGGCGGCCGCCAGCAGAAAGAGGGGGCAATGGTTTATTAAAAAAATGTTTATGCTGGCGTACGCCCGCCGTTGCTTTATTTTTTTAAGGCAGATTATTTATTCGGTGTTTTTGTTTATTTTATTACATAAAAAGAAACAAAAAAAAATATGTCGCTTGACCGCTTTTGCAGAGCGGGGGAAAAAGAAGAATAACAAAATAAGGGACATTGTTACTTATATAAGTAATATAATTACTAAAATTTAAATACTAGGAGAAAAGAGATTCGAACTCTTAAAAGCATATTACTATTGAGTTTACAGCTCAACCCTTTTTACCAATAAAGGAATTCTCCTTTATTATTTAGTGTTTACAGAATAAGTTAGGGTGTTGACTTATTTAATCCTAATGCATGATGGTTAAATGGATTATAACAAATCAATGGGTCACTCATTTTGTGTGGTGGGAGCTCAATGGCCATTAGCTAAGTACATTACTTAGAGATGATTGTTTATTAGGTGTCGCTTTATTAACTCGTTAAGGGCTTTGTTGCTTTGCCTTTGTAGCGTACTATTATTGCTTGGTTCTCATTGATTACGCGAATCAGGTGTTTGATTTTAAGTAATTTTTTTCTGCTGCCTCTACTAGTCTTAGAGGCACCGATACCAATAGTTCTAGATGATCGCTCTGTCTAGAATTCTACTGGCACCAGAGTTCTAAATAACTTAGATTAGGACCCGTAGGATCTTATCTGAATACTTGGTGTACTTGAGCTAGGCCGTTGCAGTTGGTTTACTTTGCTTCGTTTTCGGAATAACTTACTTAGGGATTCGGAGGCATAGGTTGAGCTGTTGAAGACGTCTAGATCTGTGGTTCATTCTCGCTCCTTATATCATGAAGTCCAGGATCCATTTATGTAGTTAAGACGGAAATCTTGATTTAGCTCCTCCAAATTTCAACTGTCTTGATACAGACGTGATTGTACAAATCCCATCAATTTTGACTTGAAGATTTCATCTAAGGAGCTCTTGTGTATATGGTCACGGTTGTAATGATAGTGTATGGCTCCTTCGAAGTCTTGATCTTCTAATAACTGAGTGAACTGGATTGTATTTAGGACGTCCTCAGTTATCTTCATGGTGGCCCCGTTCCGGGTCTTGGCTCTGAAGGTCTCCCCATCATATTCTAAACCTAAGAATTTTAGAGGTTTCAATCACTTGTTGTCGTATTTTACCCAGCCAGACTTTTCTGGAGCGAGTTCTATTCCCATTGATTTGTCATCATGGATGTGGAATGGAGTGTCTCCGTAGAAGATGGGGTCATCGGCGTAAGAAATTGAGGGTTGTTGACTTAGAAAACCTTTAAGTGTTAGTATACTTAGAATAGGGGATGTGGGAGCTCCTTGGGGTACCCCCGAAATGTCAGTCTGGTCCGGATAAATCTGTTGATAAAGGATTTTGTTGATGTGCATAGGGACCTTCTGCATAACAAAATAGGTCCTCTAGTGTTTGAATACCTTTGTTTCCGGTGACGGTAGCATCTGGTAGATTCCTTAAAGGACTGAGATCCTGTAGATGATGTTTATCCATGAACTTATTCTTGGAGTTGAAACGGGATTCGTCCATTGCTTGATTTTCGGGTAACTTAGGTGTTGAGTAGTTTATCTCTTCAAGCAATGTTCGTAGCTTTGCGGGTACCCCATACGTTTCTAACCCCCCCGCACAGACTGGATGTGTGAATACACACCAGTACTGTGCGGGGGGGGGGGGGGGGGGGGGGGGAGACC